AGGCAATGCAAAGCCCAAAACGCAAGCTTGTGGGATGGATGCAAGACCGCTCCAGACACCGCGACGGAGCCAGGAACCACCACGACAACGTCAGAGGGGAAAGAGTCCACCCCAACAGCAGGGATGCATGGCGCCTTTGAGACCTCTAAGAGGTGACTCTTATCACACAGCACCTCGCAACTCCTGCAACGAAACGCGCTGCCGAAAGTCACAAACTTGTGAGGGGAGACGCGAAGCGCCCGATCCAACTTCGAACCCTGCCTCGCTCTCTCCAAGGGCGCCACAGCTGGGCGGGCCTTCCTGGGGTCGGCCGCTGACGAGTCGAGCAGGGCGCGACGCGCTCTCCTTCTAATCAGGGCGGTCTGAGCATCCCAAAAATCCGTTCGAGGGTCCGTGCGGACCGAAAGGTGCCAGGAACGCTCCGCGGCCTCCGAGGCCGCGCGGTCCGCAAGTTGATTTCCAGACCTGAGGAAAGGGAGCAGGAGAAGGATGAGGGGGGGGAGGAGCGGGAGGAGGAGGGGGAGAAGGAGGAGGAGGGGGGGAGGAGGAGGAGGAGGAGGGGCAGGAGGAGGGGGAGGAGGAGGAGGAGGAGGAGCAGGGAAGGGAGGAGGAGGAGGAGGAGGAGGCGGAGGAGGAAGAGGAGAGGGAGGAAGAGGAGGGGGAGAAAGAGGAGGAGGAAGAACTTCACAGTCGTAGGATCTGGTTTGGCCTACGCAAAATTGAGGTAAACACGAGGAGGAAGACGAGGAGGGGGAGGAGGATGAGGAAGAGGAGGAGGAGGAGGGACAGGGAGAGGAGAATGCGGAGGAGGAGGAGGCGGCGGAGGAGGAGGAGGTTGAGGAGGAAGAGGAGAAAGACGGGGAAGCGGAGGAGGAGGATGAGGAAGAGGAGGAGAAGGGGGAGGAGGAGGATGCTGGTGATGCTGATGAGGATGATGATTATGATGCTGATGATGACGATGATGATGATGAGGGGGAGGAGGATGACGATGAGGAGGAGGAGAAGGCCGAGGGGGTGATGATGATGATGGTGGTGATGATGCTGATGATTATGCTGCTGCTGTTGATGATGGTTATGATGATGAAGCTGTGAATGATGATGATGTTGATGAGGCTGATGATGCTGATGATAGCGACGATGGTGTTGATGATGATGACGATGATGACGACGATGGTGGTGATGCTGATGATGATGACGATGTTGATGATGCTGATGATGATGATGTTGCTGTTGCTGTTGGTGTTGCTGATGATGTTCATGTTGATGATGGTTATGATGCTGCTGATGCTGATGATGTCGAGGAAGATGCTGATGATGATGATGCTGATGCGTATGCAGCTGACGACGATGTCGATGCTGCTGATGATGACAATGATGCTGCTGACGATGATGATGATGCTGATGCGGATGATGATGATGATGCTGATGATGATGATGATGATGCTGATTATGATTAGGATGATGATGATGATGATGATGATGATGAAGATGATGATGATGATGATGATGGTGATGCTGCTGCTGATGATGATGATGATGCTGATGGTGATGCCGATGATGATGATGATGATGATGATGATGCAGAGCAGGATGAGACGGACGATGAGGAAGAGGCGGATGAGAATGAGGGACGGGATACTGAGGAGGATAATGAAGAACATGCGGAGAACGAGGAGGATGCGGATGCGGCGGACGAGGATGAGAAGGAGGAGGAGGCTGAGGATGAGGAGAATGAGGAGGAGGAGGGAGGGTGGTGGGGGGACGAGGCGGAGGAGGAGGAGGAGGAGGAGGAGAAGAACGAGGAAGAAGAGGAGGAGGGAGAGCACGCGGATGAGGATGAGGATGAGGCGGAGGAGGATGAGGGGAATGAGGAGGAGGATGTAGAGGAGGAGGAGGAAGAGGGAGAGGAGGAGGAGAAGGAGGAGGAGGAGGATGACAAGGAGAAGGAGGAGCAGGATGAGGAGGATGAGGAGGATGAGGAGAGGAGGAGGAGGAGGAGGAGGAGGCGGAGGAGGGGGGCAATGGAGGAGGAGGAGGATGAGAAGGAGGGAAGAGGAGGAGGATGAATAAGAAGAGAGGATGCTGCTAATGATGATGAGGAGGCGGGGGAAGATACGAAGGATGGTGATGATGCTGATGATGAGGAGGATAAGTGAAGGGAGGAGGAGGAGTGACGAGAGGTCGAGGGCGAGGATGTACAGGAGGGGAAGGAGGAGGGGCAGAAGAGGGATGAGAAGGAGGAGGACGAGGAGGAAAAGGAGGGAAGGGAGAATGCTGAGGAGGAAGGTGAGGAGGAGGTTGAGGAGGAGGAGCAGGAACAGGACGAGGAACACGAGGAAGCGAAGGAGGGGGAGGAGGAGGAGGAGGAGGAGGAGGAGGAGGAGGAGGAGGAGGAGGAGGAGGAGGAAGAGGAGGCGGAGGAATTAAAGGAAGAAGAGGGGGCAGAATGACGGGAAGATGATGATGAGGAGGATGACGAGGCGGAGGAGGAGGAGGATTG